GCTGAAAATAGCATTGTTTCTATTGGGTTTTATGTACATTGAACTAGCAAAAAAATCATAGGAAATTAGTACCTGATTAATGTATGCACAAAGATAGAATAATCAAATGCCCCCTTTCCCTCCCACCCTTGGAAAGTTAGATTATAACATTGAGAGAACCTGCAGAAATGGCAAAGCTGGCCAAAATGCAGTAATGATCTTCTTGAAAGACTGGACATCTTATATGGGCTTTTTGCTGAAAAAAGGGAACACTGAATTGATGATTTGGGGATTTAGGGACTAAAAAGGGTTAAAAGAGAAAGAGAATGGAATTACAATGTAAGGGGGGAAAAGACAGAAAAAAGTGAGATGGTAACTGATTGATAGATGAAGGAAAGGAAAGGAAAGTGGAAGAAAGAGAAGGAAGAAAGATGGAAGGAGTTATGGTTCCATATTTATATTTCGGTTCTTTATACTTTATTCTTTTACTGTATTGCACAATCTAATAAATAGCTAATGCGTGTTATAATGGCAAACATTTGAATGTTGGCATGCTTCAAAATGTTTCATCCAGTATCTCCTCAGCTGGCTTCATGTTGAGTGGCCTGATTTTACCAGAACTCTCGCCATGTACTTTTCCAAGTTTATATTATTCAGTTCCATATTTATTTAACAGCAGGATTATTCAAGGAACGTGGTTCATTCATTAGAGATTATAGTGGATACACGAATGATATAAAGTGAGTATGGGCACCTATAAACAGGGACAGGGTGAATTTCCCCCCATTTGGGGAGCTGGGAATGAAATGATTTTTTTATTTTCTTTTATGTAACACATTTGAGAAGATATTCCGGAATCTTCCCTCTTATTTTTACCACTACGCTGGAAGTTTGGAGGGGATTCTGAGGGCCACAAGAGCTTTTCCTGCACTTGTCCTATACATCTGTTCTGAGGAAGTATTTTTGAAACTATGACTTTAAATATTTTAAATACACATATATTATACATATAAAATATATAAAATTTATCATGCTTACAAAGACACATATTTCATTGTATGAACTTACAAATGAGCAAGTAACATCCCAAAACAGATGTCCTTCTGTTCATCCAATCAATCAAAAGCTTGAATTTCCATAGACTCAACACTAGGGAGCAGAATATTCCTATTTCCAAGGTCCCTTCCAACTCTGTTATTCTGTTATGTATTGGCATTTTTTTTGTCCTTTCACAAGGCCACTGTGCATCGTAAAATGACCTTTCACGTTTTCCATTTTCCACATTTCCAACACAGATTAGAAGTACTTCTGTACATCTTAGATATACTTTTGATTAGAAGAGAAGTGAATCTATGAAAATAGTCAGTGGAAGCTGTGGAGGTGAGGTCAAAACCAGCAAGATGGTGGACAGACATAGTGATGGAGTCTCTATTTGAAAGGAGATATGATAATTCCATCCATGCTCAGGACCAGCAGATCTTTGAAAGACTGGGGTCTCCATCACAATGCTATGTCCACCATTATGCCCACCCATACGTTGACACCATTGAGAATAGTTGTGGGGTTGTTGGTTTTTCTTCACACACACGTCTCATCATAGAGCAGGGGTGTCAAAGTCAAGGCCCGGGGGCCAGCCCATGGGGCCAGCCTGCAAATATCAAGGGACCAGCCCGTAGTGCTTCAGGCAGCTAAATTGGGCTACGTGTGCCCCCCATGCCTCATTTTCACGCGCCATGGCCTGCAGCATTCGAGCTGAAACCGGAGCCAAATATGGCCAAAAAATGGGCTGGAAAACAGACTGGAAACAGCCCCCAAACAGGCTGAAAATGGACCACCCACCCACCCGCACCCCATTTTGGCCAGCAGGGTGCTGCAGAAGGCATCTGTCCTGTCCCCACCTCACCGCCACCAGCCCGCAGAGGAGAACTACAAAGCTGTTCCGTCCCTCGAAGTAATCCAGTTTGACCCCCCCCCCTCATAGAGCATCTTCTATTTAGCAATTTGGCCTCAATTTCTGAAAATTAGAGACTGACACAAATGGGGCAAGGGACTAAAACAGCTGTTAGACCATCTTGTTTTTGAAATGGTGGAAGGACCATCCCCCTTTAAGATAAACTTCTGCAGTTGAAGGTTTACTCCCCTCCTGAGCTCCCAGGTGAGTTAACCCCTTATGAATGCAAAGAAATCTGGACCTAGTAGAATGAAGAAGTGAAATGGTTTGATTCTGCAGGGAAATGATTAGTCATTCATTTAAGGTCTTTATCAGACTGCTCAACTTGCAAAAATGGGAGGGCGGGGGACAACAATAAAAACAGAATATAATCAGTCACATAAACAGAAAAGTCCTAGCAGGGCAACATAAATTTTTGGGGAGCCCCTTCATGTGTCACAGCTCAAAGGATCTGCTCATCAATACTCTGGCCCCAACATCCAAAGGAACGTCCATCTTAAGTGCCCTCCTAAAGAGTTAAACAGGGTATGGATTGATTGAATGGATGTGCCGCTAGCTTTAGAATAAGAATGGATGTGTCACTTAATAACTTGGGATATTATATTGCTATAAGAGTAAGGAAACTTACTTAAGACCTGTTGATTGGATTAATAGGCTTTGCTAAGTTTCAAAAAGAAACACACCTTATCCACTGTTATTTGTACACCACGGTTTATACCACACTGCATAAACCTAATTATCAATAAACCATGATTTGCAAAATTAGGCGAACTAGTCTAAATATGATCTTGCTTCCATCCCTCTGTTAATACAACCTTGCTGTCAGCTTTAAAATTCAGCTGCCACATTTTTAGAGAGTTGGAGGAGTTGAAAAGTTCAAGGTTATTCTGTATGTAGTATTAAGAAATTCCAGTGGCAGTTAATTGGTTCTCATGATTTATGAAGTGTAGAAGTGGGAGGAGAGAAGGGAGGAGAGAAGGTGGGATTCTGTGTAACGCGTGAAAATAATTTCACTTGGGAAATTGCCTTTGACATGCCAGGTCTGTTTCTAAATAAATCAATTGGAGAGAAATGTCTCGGAGTGATTGATATCATGGATACTTTCTGGATGCTTTACACTAGGATTCCATTGGCTATTTTGGCTGCTACTGCACACTGTGGGCTCATATTTCATTGTCCACTAGGACTCTCAAGATCCTCACAAATATTGCTATTGAGCCAGGTTTCACCTAATCTATATCTGTAATTTTGGTTTTTCTTGCCTTTGTAATACCATACTTTATGTTCAATTTCATTTTGTTGGTTAGGGCCCAGTCTAACATGCCTTCTATTTAGTGGCAAAGAACAATCTTTCACCTGGATTACATATACACTGGAAATCTGCTCTGGAAGGCTAAAGAGGTCAGTAGTTTACTATTCAATACATCTGAAAGCCAGGGGTGGCTGCTACGGGTATTCTTCCTAACAGGGATCTATAACTGTAACAATAGCTTATATTTTGTTTGTTTTTTTAATTTTTATTGTCACTGCCCACCGGGGAATAAGCAAATGTCTATGTTTTTAAATGCAATAAAGTTTCCAGGTATGGCTGTATTAGCTGCAGTGGAAAATCCTGATAGGCATTGCTGGAGGTAGGAACCACACCTTTAATGAGGCACCTTCAGGATTTCCTAATGGTGTTATACTAACCTCTGGTTACTTTTAGCACATGGAACAGAGGGCTTATTTAGAAAACACGCCAAGGACTGTCAAAACTGCCTAGGTTTATTCCTATGCTACCCCAATGGATGTTGGCTCCAACTGGTTTCAGCCAGAGGTGGTATTCAGCAGGTTCTGACCAGTTCTGGAGAACCGGTAGTGGATATTTTGAGTAGTTTGGAGAACCAGCAAATACCACCTCTGATTGCCCCTGCCCCCATCTATTCTCTGCCTCCCAAGTCCCAGCTGATTGGCTGGGACTTCTTTTGTTGCCCTGCACAGGAGAATGGAGCTGGAAAGCAGGTTAGTGGGTGGGGTGGGAATGGAGATTTTACAGTATTCTTCCCCTGCCATGCCCACCAAGCCACACCCACAGAACCAGTAGTAAAAAATTTGAATCCCGTCACAGTAGGCACGTGGGTGTGCTTATGCACGCCCCCTACAGACCTCTTAGGAAAGGGGTGAGGTCAATTTTCATCCAAATTAACTCATGGAAGTTCAAGAAAGCACTTTCCAAATTGTTGATTAGATTTAATTACTGGTTCTCTTGTTGATCATTCCAAGTAAGCTGAGGTATTATCTGTGATGGATCTCAACCAACATGGAGTCCTAGTTTTAGCTCCTTTATACATATGTTAAATTTCAGAAACTGTGGCTGCTCTATCAAGAAGAGATTCTGAGAATTGAGAGGGAAGGCTAACAAGAATTCACACCATGCTGTAGTTTGTTTCTCCAATATTTAATGCCCATTTCCCAAGAGAAGAAATGAAGAACATTTATTTCCAGGATGGTCCTTTACTTCCAGGATGGTTTTGAGGGCATCGTTGACCAAGGTGGTGATACAGTGACTATTTTGAAAAGAACAGGACATAAATTTAGTAGCCTCTTTCACTTCTGATGGGTTTGTGTTGGAAAACTGACAAAAATAAATTTTAGTAGTATGCAAATATAATGAGTTTCCAAAGTTTGATAGTACTGGAAACTGCAGGCTACACACAGTCAAACAGATAGTATATTTTCTGTCTCTGCTATAGCAACTTGCAAAGTCTTAATGGACAATGGAGGGGTATGAGATTATCCTTTTTTTTCAAGCTGAAAGGGCAACTTGATGCTTTTCAATAGGAAATCATCAATTATAAACTTCAAATGTTGAGGATGACCCATTAAATGCCTGAACTGAACTAAATAATTCTTTGTTGTGTCCAAAATATTGTATTCTGTATTTTCCTGATTCACTGGTCTTTGGGATGTGCCATTCTATTGTAGATGTACTTTGGCCCATCGTGCCTTTCTTCCAGATCAACCTAATGGAAAAAAACAAGTTTCATGAACAGAAGTGATTGTCTTCAGACAATGCAGGTTGATTCAGTCAAATGCAGATAAATCTCAGGTTTCAATAGGATTTCAACTCAAGATTTAATCATATAATCTCATTTTATAGTTTCCGAAAAACTGCTGCATTTATATTGATACTGCAGTTAACAAAATAAAACCAAAAACTAGCAAAATGTCTCTCAAAATTCCATGCTTTGAAGACGTAACCCATTCTGTGGACTCTAAATCACCTTCATTAGTGGAATAGTGAACTGAATGCAAACATTTTCTAGAAATTCTTCCAAATTCAGATTTCCATAGGAAGAAAGAAGAAGATGCTACCAAATTCTGTGGGATAGAAAAGGCTTTCTCATAAAAATTTCTAAAGGTGAGATGAGCTTGTCTATTGTTTTTCCAAGTACTAATCCAACACCTTCTGGGTTGAAAGTCAAGGACAAAGTCAGAGAAACCACAGCATTACAGGTAAAGACATTCCGGATTATATGTAGGAGAAAGACAAGCAGAGACAGTAGGAGTCAGGAGTCAAGAGTGGCATCATTATAGTCTAAGATTATAGGAATTCATTCATTGTGGGGAAAGGAGGAACACTACCTGCCTTGTACTTTTAAAGCCAATGTCTTCAAGGAAAGAGTTTCCAACAACCTTGGAAATTATCTTTCATTTATGCTCAAAGTCTTTAACAGCATAATATGTACAAATGAATGATTACATCATATATTAACAGCATAAATGGTTGGATTATTATATTTACACAACTCAACCTCTCACTTCATCACCTTCGATCACAGATGAACTGGAACAGCCTCCACATTAAAGAACCATCATTATATTTTATCTACGCAATGTAGATAAATCTATACATTTTGTTTCTCCCCTCCACTGCAATTAACACTAGAGCACATCCATAGAACCTGGGGATAGATGCATGCCATGCCTTTGGCCAGATCCTATGGTTGCACTGATTCAGGTGCAATTGCACATAGAGAAGTGTTGAAACAATTCCTCCCAAGCTCTATGCTCCCCATGATTGTCTACTTTCAAGTATTATTTGACCAGAAAAGGAACTTTCCAGAGATGAATGAACCTTTACACCTCTTTCCATGCAGGTCCTGATTTTTGACCTCCCTGCACTGTTTCTATATTTTAAAAACCCGAAGTGACATCAAATGATTCTGTGCATCTGTTTTTGGAAAATGTAGCACAGTTTGGGTATCTGCTGAAATATATAAAGTCTTGACGGGATTGCTTACCGAGTATCCCATGAGGCATCATCATGCAGCACTTGCCAGCTTTTAGAAATGTTATCATGTTTCTCCACCGTAAGGAAAGTAAAATTGGCCTGGAAAGAATAAGCAGCGATAGAGACATGAAATAACCCACCTGTAAAATAGCTCCCCAGAAACTATCACTTATGGATATATATTGGATAAGATCAGAGGATCTCCTTAGATTGTCTAATGGCTTATTATTTAAATCTCCTTCACAGTTATATATTTTGTATTCATTTGTTTCCTCTTCCCCATCTTTCTTCTCCATATTTGCAATTATGATGAGAAAGAGGGAGGGAGGGGGAGAGAGAGAGAAAAATAAAGACATTGCACCTCGGAATTATTTGGTCAAATGCAGGGAATATAAGGATTCGCTCAATTTTTCTGTGCAATCTTTCCATTGGTTTCGTATCTCACCATATACTCTGTAGAACTCCTTGGATTTGCTCCTACAAAGTGCACTTCAGCAATCTCTCCCTGGGTAAAAGAGATGGAATGAGTTTTGAGAAAATGAACGGTAAATCACATCCATGGTACCAATCAATCAATTCTTCTATGGCACAAGTCTTTTGAACTTCAGAGCTTTTCCTAATGCTCAAAATGAGCAGCTTTCCTGATGGCCATTCAATTCTTAAAATACAAATGGGTAAGGAGATGTGTATAAGATATGCAGGTACATATCTTACTAAGCATTTCTTTAAAATGTGCAAATATCCTAAGTGCTTAGAAACCTTGCAGTATGATTGCAGACATATATACAATAGCATTCAGAGCTTCAACGTGGAAGATAATCACCCTTTCCTGAAATGTCAGTGAAAGGATACAAATGGTGCACAAAGTGAAGGTATCAGTGTATTGACTCAATGGCTGAAAGCTCTTCAGAATTAGCCATGGAGCAGCAGCTATGAGTTCAGAAGGCGTGGCTAGGGGAGTGCCATGTGACTGGGTGGGAGTGAGTGACGCTGAGTTGGCCACGCCCATCCAGGTTTTGTGGCTCCCTGTATTTTCTTTTCTGTGGGAAATGGGTCCAAATGGCTCTTTTAGAGTTTAAGGTTGCAGACCTCTGGTCTAGGTCAATACACTGATAGCTTCAGCTATGCATCCTGGACTTGAGATGTACAATTAGGGATCAGGAGCATATAGATGGTCCTTAAGTGAGGGAAATGTATCTATCCTAGGAAAGGAGGAAGTTACAAGAGTTTTACTGGAAGAACCCTCCCTACTGCTATAATTATAAATTACTCATTTCAATTAGACTTTCACCTAGGTAGGATATGGTACAGAAACTGCATTGGTTGTCTCTAAGACTGACCTATACTGGAAATTACACTAAATGGAGACGGGGTTCAATCCTACCAATTGTTCTGAATATCGCGAGATAGGTGGCAAATAAATTTGAGAAATAAATAAATGAATACATCAGTAGCATTTGATACCATCAGCTATGGTATCTTTTTGGTCCATCTGATGTAGTTGAAGATGCTGGTTTCCAGTGTGTTTGATCCTTCTTCTTGGGTTATGTTTGGAAGCTTTTATTCTTCTACAGAGGAATTATTGAGTCTATCATCTGCACCTCTATAACTGTGTCTGGTTTGGTTCAGGACAGACACAGACTTCAGAGGATAATTAGGACTGCAGAAAGAACAATTACTACCAACCTCCCTTCCATCGAGGACCTGAATACTGCACGAGTCAAAAAGAGGGCTGTGAAAATATTTACAGACCCTTCACATCCTGGACATAAACTGTTTCAACTCCTTCTCTCAAGACAATGCTATAGAGCACTGCACACCAGAACAACTGGACACAAGAAGAGTTTTTTTCTCCAAAAGCCATCCCTCTGCTAAACAAATAATTCCCTCAACACTCTCCAACTATTTACAAAGTCTGCACTACTATTACTGTTAATCTTTTCATTACTCCTTATCACCCATCCCCTCCCACTTGTGACTGTATGACTGTAACTTTGTCGCTTGTATCCTTATGATTTATATTGACTGTTTCCTAGTATGATTTGATTGCTTATTGTACCCTAAGTGTTGTACCTTATAATTCTTAACTCTTGGCGAATGTATCTTTTCTTTTATATATAATGAGAGCATTTGCACCAAGACAAATTCCTTGTGAGTCCAATCACACTTGGCCAATAAAGAATTCTATTCTATTCTATTTTAATTGGCAATTAGGATCCTTATTTATTTTATCAAATTATATAGCTGATCATCTCAACAAAATGACTCTGGAAGTTATCAGAGTCAACAATTACGAGTACAGCCAGGAGATGGGTCCCTTCATATCTTCTAGAGCTGTGATGGCGAACCTATGGCACATGTGCCACAAGTGGCACGCAGAGCCATTTGTGCTGGCATGCGAATCACAGGCAAACTTAACTCACTGTGCATGTGCGCGCCTCACAGCTGATTTTTCTGCTAGTTTCAAGCCTTTTTCAGCCTCCCAGAGGTTTGGAAAAAGCTTCTGCAAGGCTTTTCAGGACGAATAGGCCCGTTTTGTCACTTCCTGTAATACCGGAAGTTATAAAATGGGCATATTATTCGGCCTGAGAAGCCTTGCAGAGGCTTTTTCCAAGCCTCTGGGAGGCCGAAAAAGACCTCAAACCAGCCAAAAAATCAGCTGTGAGGCGCAGTGCAGATAAGGGGGTGGTGGTGGGTGGCATGGAGGGGGATTGCACACGCATGCGCAGGGGGCGTGGGGGGGTGCACATTGCATTCTGGGTGCTGGCACGTAAGTGCGCATGCACTAATGTGCATGCAATTTTTGGCACAGGAGTCCAAAAAGATTAGCAACCACTGCTCTAGAGCCCCAGGCGCAGAACCTGGCCTCTAAGGTCTTACAAAAAAACAGAAAGATGTGTGTGCATTAGGTGCATGTGCAGACGTGCGTGATCACAAAAGCAATAGTGGAACAGGTAAGATCCCACTGCTGGCACCTTCCTTAGGTTGGGTGCTGCAGCAGAAAACCTTACAATCCTTATTTTCATGTTGCTGTCATGTTTATATTTTGCACTTTCTTAGGTATAAATTTCATAATAAATAAAACAGACTGAGAGAGAGATCTAATCCAAAGGCACTCTGTGAGCTTCCATGCTTGAGGTTTCCTAACACTGATCCTAATTTAATGTCCTCACTGCTGCACCACTGGGAATTCTTGGAACACCAGGACACTGTTATGTAGTGAGCTAGTATATTGCCACTCAAAATGATATGATTAAACAAGGTTTAAAAATACAGCCAAATAAAATGGCTGGTGGGGGGAGGAGTATACATACCACTTTGTATGTTGGTTGAACATCTTTTAGAACATCACCATACTTCTGACCAAGTGGCTTTTTATCCATAATAGGGGGCAAAAAATTCAGGCTTGTTATGTTTAAGATGGGTGGTTCTGGAATATTGGTTAAATCTTGAGTGGTATTCTGAAAAAAAATGTAATTCAGTTTGGAATGAAAGGTGTTTTAATCTTAACCAGGAAATAAAACAAAGGAAAAAGGGAGAAAGATTATATAATAAAAACATTCTCTGCATGGAGTTGAGAGATCCTGTTCAGTATTTCTGTACCCAAATCTTTAGTTCTATTTTAGTTTTTCCCTTGTTTTCATTTACAAGCTCCTTGAAATGGGCCTACTACAACTACGACAACTCGTCATGGTAAATTTGCCACGACCAACTCTTCACAGTCAACTCACCACAGCCAATTCGTCATGGGATAATTCATCATGGCCAACTCACTGTGGGACAACTCACAGTGGGGCAGAAATTACATTAATATCAAAGAAATAATGGAATAGATGGGGTGTCAAACTGGTGGCCCGTGGGCCAGACGCATCACATGCAAGCCACGCCCACCCCTGCTCTGCAAAGGCAAAAAAGTGATATCATGTGACATGATCAAGTGACACCTGTGGAATAGAATCATCAAAGAAAGAATGCCAAAGGAGGGACAAAATCAGAGGTGGTATTCAGCAGGTTCTGACCAGTTCTGAAGAAACGGTAGCGGAAATTTTGAGTAGTTCGGAGAACCAGCAAATACCACCTCTGACTGGAGATTTTACAGTATCCTTCCCCTGCCACGCCCACCATACCACACCCACAGAACCGATAGTAAAAAAATTTGAATCCCACCAATGACATGTAAATGACAAAAATTAAAATATTTTTCAAATTATTTTAAATAATTAAATTGAATTGTTGAATTGTCCTATGGTGAATTGGTTGTGGCGAGATGGCTACGGAGAGTTCTTCCATTCTGCCTTGAAATACACAGGCTTAGTTTTAAACCTCCATAGCAAACTATAGAAGCAGTATTATTCACACTTAGTTGCTTGTTTACTCTGGGAATGTAAAAAAATCTCATGACAATTTTTGCATGGATTGTAGGTAGTAGTCAGCATAGATTAACAGTACAGGTGCTGGGATGAAGAACAAAATAGCTTGCTTGGAATTTATATTGATAGTCTGTAGGGGCATGCATAAGTGCATCAATCGTGCCTACCATCCCTGTCCTATTGTTTCTTTTTATTTTTCTTATATGTATCCATCTCATGTATTCAAAACTATGTTTATACTTATACCTGTTATCTTGTAAGCAATTGACAAATCAAATAAATAAATAAATAAATATCCACATCAGAATGCAGCCCTTTGGAAACCTTCTATCCGTATGTGCACCTCTACAGATTGCAATCTATTTCCACTTATAACTAAGAATCAGAGATTCTTTAACACTGCATAATTGTAATTTGTTATTACCATAGCAAGAGCTCTGGCCAGGCCTTGAAATAACTGTATATAGGCAGAAAGCGTGTGTGGTCCAAAAATGGTGGCCCCTCCTTCATATCGTTGAATCTACAAAGTGAGACATGAAGATCTATGAACTCATGACTGCTTCATAATCCTAACAGTAAACTAAATTTTCTACAAAGTGTAGTCACAAATCATTCATGCTACTTATTTTTGTCTTAAGAATATTACTGATATTACCTGATATTCTTCATAAGTAGTTACGTAGTGGGTGTAAACATTGCTCAATCCTGAAATTATAATATCCATTCCTGCTTTTCCTTGAATTTCAAATTCCTATGAAACAGAAAAAGAGGAAAGAAAGAAGAAAGAAAGAAAGAAAGAAAGAAAGAAAGAAAGAAAGAAAGAAAGAAAGAAAGAAAGAAAGAAAGAAAGAAAGAAAGAAAGAAAGAAAGAAAGAAAGAAAGAAAGAAGAAAGAAAGAAAGAAAAAAAAAAGACCATTCTGAATTCAGAGCTCAGTTGGCATTTATTCATGTGTTCAAGTTTTATACCATGGCTAGCAATTTTCTTTGGGGGGGGGGGGGAGGAAAATATGATAAATAATTAGAATAGACTATTTTAATTATGATCATTGACCACAATGGCAAACAGAAACATGTTAGTTAAAATTTAATAGGCTGTCTCAAAATAATTACAACAGGCTAATACATTAATGTCTGCAAAAAAATCCCTCCACCCCAAGGAAAACTTCTGGCAAATAAAATAGCCATGTATTATAAAGCTTGGAGGAAAGAAATATTTTCCTTTGTGTTTAAATTAAAACTTGTAAATACTAAGCAAAGATGCCAACATGTGAAGAATTATTATTGAAAAGAATCAGATGTCCCAAACTTTGCCCCATACTTAAACAACAGCAAAGAGGTCACATATTGCCATATTTGAATAACTCTAAAATCTCCTGTTACATAAAGGGATCAAATATAAATATAGTCAAGGCCCAATTATAAAACTGATTTACTGATCTGATCAAACAAATCTTCCTCAAGAAGACAGTTGTTTTCTCTGTCATCTAGGACTTAGTCATATTGATCATTAATTATACAATACATCCCTGAATTAGAAGAAATTCAAAATTCTAAGAAGATTTTCTAGAGAGCCAATAAGATATAATATTTTAAGGTTCTGGACAAATAAGAGGAGGTTTTAGGCCTCTCTTAGGCATGGAAATGAGCTCCATAGCCTTAGGCAAGTAACTCCCGCTCAGGTGAATCAGCATCAGACTGTGAAAAATACATGTGAATTAAATAACAGAATTCATTCCATCATGCACAGATAATTTTACTGCAAGAACTGCACCAATCACAGTGTCAGACAAGCAAATCCTGTAGCCAACTGGGGAAACTGGAGGAACAACAAGAAGAAGAGGCATAAGATTAGATTCTCGGGGGAGACAAAAAATTGGACCCAGTTCAGGGATGGGATTCTACCGGTTCTGTCCACCTCTGTAGAACCGGTAGTTCTAAAGAACAGCAGGCATAGAACTGGTTCTATATCTGCTGCTGTTTTGGCCCACTTGCCCGCCCGGGCTCTTACCTGACCTTTATTTCCTGCTTTTTCAACCACAGCTGCTTTGCGTGACACAGCTGAGGTTGAAAAACCAGGAAAAAAGGGCTTTTCCAACTGCTGAGCACTTGCACACAGCGCTGCTCAGCTGTCCAGGCAGCTCAGCAGGTCGTAAATCGTACTCACGTTTCACGCAGAGCAACAGAACCGGTAGTTATACCAGCTGGATCCCATCCCTGACCCAGTTGGATGGCAGTTACCGTCTAACAGAAACATCTTGCAATTCAATCCTTTCATCATTCTTAAGATTCTAATCTCTAATAAGCAGAGCTCTGAAAACAAAAGCTTCTGAAGTAACTACAGTGCTGTAATTTCATGCACAGATTGTGGATTTGTGATGTTTGTGATTTGAGTGGGAGAATGATTACAATGCAATGTGAAATAAGCACCTCAGTGGGAAAGGAAGTGGGGGGAGAATTACTAGGTAAATAATAACAACAACAACAATTCTTAGAAACACTAGGAAATAAACTCTTCATTATTATCTCCTCCTCTAGGTAAAAGAATTATTATTATTATTATTATTATTATTATTATTATTATTATTATTAT